TAAAATTTAATTTTCATTTTAAATAACATTTTTTATTTGCAGCTCCTCGAAGAATAAGGGTATATGCAGATGGTGTATATGATATGTTCCATCAAGGACACGCTAGACAGTTAATGCAAGCGAAAACTGTATTCCAAAATGTTTACTTGATTGTTGGAGGTTAGTTGTATAATTTAATAATTTAAAATAATTTAGTATTGTAAATAAATTGAAGATAATTTATAGTCATAAATTGTATTTGTGTATGAATTTTAGTATGCAGTGACAAAGTCACACATACTTTTAAAGGTAAGACTGTAATGACCGATGAAGAAAGGTATGAAGCTGTTAGACATTGCCGTTATATAGATGAAGTTCTTAAAGATGCACCATGGGAAACCAATGATCAATTTTTAATAGATAATAAAGTAATTAAAAATGTTACTGTTTTATTTTGAATTAGAATTGTGTTTTAAATTGTGTAGATTGATTTTGTTGCTCATGATGATATACCTTACATAAATGAAGATGGTCAAGATATTTATGGAGGACTTAAAGAAAAAGGTATGTTTGTAGGCACTCAAAGGACTGAGGGTGTATCAACGTCAGATGTTATTTCTCGAATTGTGCGGGATTATGATATGTATGTTAGACGTAATCTTCAACGTGGGTACAGTGCCAAAGATTTAAATGTATCTTATTTAAAGGTAAAATTTTTGAATAAATAASTATCAAAAATATAAGAACTTGTAGATAATATAATTGTAATTGATTTTAGGAAAAAAAGTTTAAACTCCAAAACAAAATGGAAGAACTTAAAGATCGCAGTAAACGTGTAATGGGAACTATTGGTGAAAAAAAAGTAGACATGCTGCAACGATGGGAAGAAAGATCAAGAGACTTTATTGTTTCATTCTTGTTGTTGTTTGGCCGAGATGGACCAATTGTAAGTATAAAGTTTAGTGGTAAACTGGTAACTTGCCTGAGCATAATCAAGGGTTTTCTTTTAGTCACATTTTTGGAAAGATAGTAAAGGTAAATTGTTACAAGCATTTTCACCACCTGGTAGTCCTACTCCAAGTGGACGTAACACTCCYGATTCAACTAGTTCGTCTGAAGAAAACTTAAGGTAATTTTATAGCTATAATTGAATGAAATTAATGGAACATAATAAAAAATTATTTAGGTCTCCGCCTAGAAAATCTAGTAGAACTAAACGTTATTTGGATGATGATGGCGACGACGATGATGATGAAGAAGAAGAGGAAGATGACTTATTAAGTAGATACAATTACATAAATGGTGAAAAAAGCTCCAATTCCTAGTTGAAAAGAATGTTTATAAATCACATTAAAAAAACCTATTAGTTAAATATATTTAATTATAATGCACAAATAAATAATCATTATTGTTAGAGTAAAATTAACAGTAAAAACATGTTTGGTAATTAATATTCTTCTATGATTGTTTTATAAACAATATAAACATTTTATGCATATTTAGACTTCTGTGTTGAAAAAGAAATATTATAAATGTTTTGTAAGTTAAAAAATAGGCATTATACCTATATTTTATAT